AAGTAGAGACATCTATTTTAATTTTTTTTTTCTTCCTTAGTGGTCATGGAATACTTGCAATGGTAGTGATAATTGTCCTTTTAATTTATTCCTTTCCAATTCTTTCGTTCATATGGGGTACGTTTTTTGCATTCCACAAAAGCTGATTTTCTGTGATTTCACTTAATATGCAGGCAATATGGTTCTCAATTTTTGGAAGTCGGGATATTGCACAATTACAGTCCGGCGCTTGTGTAAGCACGTGTTTGTGATTGTGTAATATTTCATCGACTGTCTTTGATTTCTTAAACATCACACGCATCCGAGCTGTCAAATCGTTTGCCAAATTGTTATTACTTACATTTTCCAAGATAGACTCGGTTGTTGTGTTTCTCACTTGCTTCAGATTAATGCATGCATCAAATGCAAGTTTAAATATCATTTTTTTCTTTATATTGAATGCAAATTTTTTCTTTGAAATTCGTGTGACGATGCCTTTAATAGTTCCTCTTGGCTTCTTTCCGGTAACCGATCTCAACTTTGACAGAAGAATCAGTATATCATCTAACGATAATTTATACAGTCCCCTTCGTCTCCATGGTGCCCTCAAGCAGTTAATCAGAATATTTTTATGTTTGTTTGTTTTCGGTCCCGTATGCACCAGTTGGGTCACATAGAAGATACATCCATTTTCAATTCGTTTTTGCTGAAACTTTGTGTTGTCAATTTTCACAATTGTTGATCTGAATATTCGTTTAATTATTTTCCATTTTTCATTCCATAGTTTTCCAGCTGTGCAGTAAATCATTGCTTTTGGTTGAAGTATTGATGTTAACTTCGTAGTGTAACCCGATCGAACCGATTTAAACAAACCAGGTATATTCTGATTCACCTCATTGTTTTCATTCTTCTTCCTCTTTCTCATTCTTCGTCTTCGGTTTTTCCGAGTCTTTCTGCCTTTTCCCCTTGTATTAAAAAATGGATTCAGTCCCCTAATCAGTGCTGCTTCCATCCCTATCACCTCTGATTTCACTCCCGTCCAAATGGGTACTATAACATATTTCTCCCAACCAAATTTGTGCAGCCAACTGTATAGTTTTCGTTGTGCTCCTTTATTTGGATTCTTGGCCAAGTTTTTGTGTTCATTCCATCTCTTGTCGGGCTGTCTTCCTGTCCTCCCCACGTACATATGTCTATACTAAGCTGAAACGAGAACCTACACACTATATGATGATGTGATTAGCTTATCAAATGTATGAGTCTGTGCTACCCAGAGATCAACTAGTTGGCTTGCCCATGGTATCTGTCCGTCCAATGCTAGTGAGATAAACAAAAGTTTGTACCCTCTATTGTATGTATGACACTCATTAATTTTTCATGTACTAACTAGTTGCTCAATTTTCGTTGATAGCCTGTGTATCTGCTCCCACTTCTGTGTCATAGTGAGGTCGCCTGATGCTGAGGTGTCTTCTACCTTCCCGATAGATCTTCGGCGCTCGAAGATGTGTCGGATGAGTCATACTCATCACTCCCGCTTGATCTTGTAGTAAGGCTCTCGTAATCATCCTCACTTGTGTCGCCGCCAGTTGTATTGGACACTCTGATGTTATCTGGATCTGGCATGATTTGTGTTTCAAGATCAAAATCCCGGTTGAAGTCCCGCCCCTTGTAGGCGATCAATCCAAGAACTTATCTCAATGTCGAGATCGCTTGCGGTTTGTCCTTGTACCTGATGTCATGCATCTTGCATAAGACCTTCAGGTCCGTGTAGTGAAGACGAAGGAGCTGCATCTCCGTCATCGGTTCGAACCCGAAATTAATGTTTCATTTTGCCTTCGACTTCACTCCCGACACGTTGTGATTAATCTTCGTTCGTCCTCTCTTGGGGTGTGAAGGGATTACGCGCCCCAATCTGCTTTTGTTCGGTGCGCTTCTGCTTGGCATGCTTCGGCTTGGAATGCTGCGGCTACCATGTACTGAAGTTGGTAGTCCAGCTATTGTCCCCACATATCCGTTCGGATGAACCGAAGACGACACGATCGGAGTGCAGGTACGAGTCGGTTCATTGATCTTCTGCAACGCGCTTTTCACAACCGCCAGATCATACTTTAGTAGCTTCAGGTTGTTGACCTCCTTCTCCACTTTCGATACCATCCTTTCTACTTTATGTTCCGCCTCTTCATTGTTCTGACCGGTTGCGCTTGGACCAGCTTGATTTTGTCCCCCTTGGTTCATCTCTGTCGGCTTCAGTGCTTCATCAATGATGAACTTGAGCACGTCCGGAGTTAGCTCAGGGTTCTCTGCGGTGTCTTCCTTGTTCAGAGGAGCTGGCTGCTTTTCACTTGTCTTTCGTGTGAGTTGCTCCAGTGTCTTGAGAACTTTGTCCATCTCCCGGCGGAGCTTAAAGATTTCTTCATTTAGATCCGCCGTAAACCACGCTCGATTTCCCGGTGGGGGGAAATCATTTCGTCTTTGCTCCCACAATGGTCTCGAAAACCACCCTGGAGATTCTGACTCCGTCCTTCTTCTCCGTGACGATGGTGATCTTGACTTATGTCTTCTATCTCTCAGAGTTTTCGATCTCCCCCTTCTTGAGCGCTTCCTCCCTTGAGATCCGGAAGATGATGATGAGTGTCTTCGCCGCCTCTTGTTCGACGATGATCGCAAACGCGACATCTTCCTTGAAGCTTGGGAACGTCAGGTAGGTAGTCTAAGTACCTGAAATCGATACAAAACCCCACAGCGCCGTTGATCGTCTTCAGTACACACCAGATGAGTAAAATAAAATCTCCAAAAATCGCTGAGTAATCTCCACGCTATAGTAATCTCCAACAAATCGCCACTATGATATCATAAAAGAAAAGGGTTACGAATGATGAGAGAGAGATAAAGACAGTGAATGTAAAATGGAAGAGTGACAGGTCTATACAATGCTAATCATCGCGGGTACCGCCCGCAAGTTCTAAGCACCGCGCATAGAGATAAACACATGCAAATGTAGACAGAACGTGCGAGGTTTTACTTTCACAGTATACACGTAATGTCCATGGCATGCGACACCAGTCACGATTACCCTTCTACCTCACTGCTCATGTAATCATTTCAGCCACTATCCTCAGTATTTATACCCTTCGTTCCCAGTTCTTCTCCGCCACTTTCTCTATCCTTCAGTGTACTCATCATCTATCCTCAGGATCTCCCGCAGTCGCTCTCTGTGTTGTCCTTGTCGTCGTCGATTTCCAACATGCCTTCAATCTGGAGCTACTTTTATCATATCTGATGATTCTGTGCGTGCTACTCACGTACTCTCCTCTCTGTCGGAATTCCGTCTTACTGTGGTACTTGCCTATAACTCCGCTGTTTTTTTTATACTGACTCGAATCTGACCTTGTTTGTTGTTCTGTTCTTGGTTACTTTTATGGCCGTGGATTTTCCTTCATTTCCAGGTGAGTATTTTTTCTTTATTGCTTCGTTTCCACTGCTTTAGGTATTTCATCTTCTATCTGTTTCGTATATTTGAAAATGTTAGCGACACTGTTACGTTGTTATATCTGCAGAAATTCCGTTATATTCCGGAGTACTTAGTCGTGTATGTTTTTTTTTCGTCCCTGAAAATTTATTTTCATTCCGTGCAAAAAATATTTTTTTGATTTTTCGATTTGTGATCTTAGCTTTATATTCCGAGTCGTGTGAATTTCTTGACGTATGTTATTCCGGACTTTCAGTTTTATATCCGTCGATTTGGTGCTTCTTGCTTTTCCAGGTACTCCTGGAATTTATTTC